GAAATATTACTGACAATTTAATTTCAGTCACATCAAGCTTGTCCCAGGCAGCTCCATTAATTATTTTATAACTTACAAAGTATCTGAAAATACTTAATAGCTCATTTTATGAACTTCTGTGTGGTACCTCTGCTGTGAAATATAGCAGAGCTATGGGGCTGACTCTCTAGCTGACTCTTTTAAAGGCCATGTTCATTAGCTATATGTCAGAGCTGGGCTCTTCTCAGCTGAAAGTCAGAGAGCACAGCGAGGAATGTTGAATGCAGCAGGAGCATCCTTCTCTTTACTCAGGAGAGGGGCAACTTCATGAACAACACCAGAGTTGAGGACACAGTTTTATTCACAGTATTATCAAAGGACTCAATACTGCCCCTAACCTGACTTTGTAAGATGAGGCAATGGTAGCTGGTGTTGCCAGCTCTCCACTAGACTCCTCAGTCCCACCTACACTGTGGCAGATACTGCACTGAACTTGTTACTCAATACTTATGGAGCCATGATATTATTAACACCTCAAGATAGATGTCTATTTTCTCTAGCAGAAAGCCATTCCCTGTACTGTTCGTGTCTAAGTACAGTGGTACCAAATTTGCTACTGCACTCTAACTAGGCTTACCATTTGCCCGATTTGGGAAGGCAAACTCTCAGTGGGCAGCTCTTCCCATTTGCCCTCGCTTCTTGTCTGGCAGGAGAAACGTTGGGGGCAGAAATGAAGTTGCATGACATGCTGTCAATATCTGGTGAAACCCAGTTATACCATAGAGTTTGGGGGGGGGGGGAGTCCATAGCACTGCCTTTACATGCTGACGCAATGTCCACAGTTTCCTCTGGAACTGACAGTGGGACATTGTGGAATGTCATTTCTGCACCTTGCTCTGCCTCCTAAGCTCCTGGGGGTACCAGATATCCCTAATTATAACTCAGGTATTTCACACCCAAGTCTCTTTGTAGAGGCATCTGTTGAAATATGGTGGCTTTAACATCAGCTAGCTAGTTAGTACATTTTTATCTTGCCCTTCCTCCAAGGAACTCATTTATTTCCCCCAACTGCCATTTTGTCCTCACAACAACTCTGTGAGATCGGGAGATAGAGGAAGTGACTGTCTTGAAGTATTCTGAAAACTATCATATCAGCGTAGGCATCTTAACTCAGGTCTCCCAGAGTCAACAGTCAGTAGATGGGGCTTTTGCCTGGCAGGGCTTCTGATTGGACATTGGCGATCAGATTAGCTATGCAAATTTTTAAAAAGGTTGCTTTGGCAACAGCTGTGACTGCCGGTAAGCTTTGTGTATGCAAGGAAATATTTTGAAACAATGTGTTTATTTTAAAAGGCATCCTGTTAATCAGAGCTTCTGCCTGAACGGTTAAAGATCACCTATTAGAGTTATGCATAACCTCACTCCATGATGTTTTGTGGTTGCCTTTGCCTCCTGCTTGTAGCCATTTTGTGTTTATACCCACCACCACTGTGTGCAAGAATTCTAAAAGTGCCTTGTAGGCTTAGAATGGTTGGGGAAAGTATAATGTCTTTATAATATCTACGGTTTCCAACCTTACAAAAGAAACACATATTGGGTGTTGGGTATTCAGAGGTTCATGACTAACCCCCATACAACATAGTCAGCACTTGTGTAAAATAAAGTTGCAAGATGTGAACAGAGTCCTGAGTATCTCAAGGAAAATCTCCATCTGAGCCCATCACTGCCTCCAACATTCAAATCTGCCCTTCAGTCATAATCCATCAGTGAAGAAGAAGGAGTTCGGCCATTGTCGTGCCCCCATCTCCATAGCTGGGGTGCACCTACAACATCCACAGGACCTCATGCCAAGGACCCTGGGCCCATGTGTATAGCCAGGAGGAGATGGAACTGAGTGGGAGGGATGAGGACGAAGGTGGCCAGGCTCGAGAAGCAGGAGGGGGGGGCCCCGGGGGGGGGGGGGGCAGGGAGCGATGGCACCACAGCCCGCTTGGGAGCTGCCATGGACTGACTGCTGTGTTCTCCCCTGTGCCAGGTCCCTATTCCCTGACATTTAGTGCTGATGTTGTGGACTGACCCCAAAGTGATGCATGACAATGGCAACCTCCGTGGCTGGGCATCACAGAGTCCCCAGGCCTGGCGGCTGGAGGAGAGATGACATAAAAGGCAGCAACTTCTTATGGCAGCAACCCTGCCCTGTCAGACCGGAGGGAGGCATGGAAGTGGCAAGGGAGTTCCCCCCCATCCATTGATGCCCAACAATGCTGGGACAGAATGCTGCAGCAGAAATGGAATGCTGCGGCAGAATGGTGCATTATTTTATTTATATTTATTTATTTATTTTTGCGATTTCTATGCCGCCCTACCCAATGGCTCAGGGCGGCTAACAACAATGTTTAAAATAGTAAAACAATAAAACAATTATATATACAATAAAACTGCACTGAGTCCAGGTAAAATGTTAAGACTGATTTCATGAAATGGTATTCCAATTGTATTCAATAAAGCAACAAGAAAACTTCTAGTTAAATCATATTCCTTCAGATGACAACTGTGAGCAATTTTGAAGCTTTTAAACACAATCCAGCAAACAGTAGTCACGATCTGCCCCTCTGCAACTAATGGAATGAGAAGTTGTGATTAACAAACCTCATAACTTACAGTGGGATCTAGCTCTGACTATCGCTAGATTTTGACCTCTAGGTTTCAGGATGAACTCTTTGTAGCTATTAATGGCAAGAAACTCTGAGCTATTTATAGAAATATCAAAACATGATATTAAAGAAGACAACCAAAGATAAAGATGCAGAAGATCAGTTTTTGGCCTCTGTCACATTAATGACATTTGAAGTAGCACCATTCAAGTGAATTTTAAGAGGAAGATAAATAATTCAGTGGAAGAATGCTTTGCAGGCAAAAGGCATCTTTAGTTGAAAAGTTTTCAGTTACAGGGCTGAGAAAGACCCCAATTTGAGGAGCCATAACCAATCAGATTAGATAATACTGGGTTAGATAGATTGATGTTCTAATTCAATACTCCTCTTGTGGTTC